CTAGCTAGTTTTGGCTAACCGTCGTTAGCGCCTCGATTGTATGCAGAGACTTTTGGCCTTCCTCCTCAGTTAAGACTCACTTGTAGGCTCAGAATGCGGTCCTGTGCAGTGCACTGGCTTGTGCAACCATATTTGCTGTTGTGCAACCGTATTTGCTGTTGTGACAGCGGTTTTGCACCACGGCCTAACTCCTTGCGAATGCCTGGAATTTGGAGGGGTTTCTGCTGCAGGTGAGCATGGTGTGGTGGACGAGTTCCAAGCGGAGAAGGGAAGATACGTCGTAGAGTTTGCAAACGGAAGCCGTAAGCTCATCCACGGGAAGAACTTGAAGCCCAGCCAGGACCCATGCACGTGCTACTCCGAGATGAACCCCGGATTGCTTGCTTCAGCCACCTGCCACAGGAGCTCGACTCCCAGAAGCTGGATCCTCTGAAGATAGGGGACCTGGCCAAAATCACTGGCTTCACCAATGCCACAGACCTGAACGGCCGAGTCTGCAGAGTGCAGGCACCAAAGGGTGCCGATCGGTACGACGTGGAGCTTCCGGACGGAACAGTGAAAGCCGTCAAGGGCTCCAGCTTGTGCCGTAGCGGCACTAGCCCACAAACTTCAGCTTCACATATGCGATTCGACGCATCTTCCTTCATGTACGCTTCTCGGTGCCCCCTCAGGATTGTGCTCCCATCTCCTGGAACAGCCGTGACCTCCTCTAACCTCGTCGAGGAAGCGATGGTGCAGCGCGGCCCAAGCTGGATCTGGGAGGATCAGGCCTGGCTGGGTCAGAATTGTTACTTTCTCAGCGAACTCTGCAACTGTTCATGTCCATGAACAGTTCTAGCTCAGCATTTGGTCGAACAAATCCAGCAGGCTTTCATGTGAAAGTTTGTGGAAACATCACGTCGGGGACGACTTTGTTAGATGCCTCCCTACAGCAGGAGTACAGCAGTTCTCAGCCATGTGTAGACCGGTGTTTCTAAAGCAGCACGGCGCAAACCAAGCAGGATGGTGGCAAAAATTGCTCGGGACGTGTCCTGCAATTCAACACCGAGACAGGCTGGGCCACAGTACAGTGGAACAATGGGATGAGAAACTGTTACAGGATCGGCGTGAACAGCAAGAACGACCTGGAGCATGCTAGCTCATTCAAGCATGAGGCTTCTTATCTGAAAGCTCTGAAGAAAGGCAAGGAGGCCATCAAGAAGCGCCACCTCCAACGTACTTTCGCCTATCCTCGCGGCGTGAAGCACTCGCATGTTGCGTTCTTCGATATCAGAGACGAGGTTTGCGAGGTCCTTAGTGGCCACAAGCACGGCCAACGAGTTCAAGTGGAAGAGGTGCAGGCGGTGATGATCGGTGTTGCTCCATGGGACGATGATTCGGATCTCCTCTGGCCCTTCTATCATGTGGATGGCGCGGATGGTGCAGACACCTTTGACGACCAGGAGCTTTTCAGGAAAGTAAAGGTCATCGGACGACAGAAGGTCAGGGAGGCCCAACCTCGACATGTCCTTGTTCACAACCGAGAGCTGCTTGAGATTGCAAAGGAGGTCACGCCCACTTTCCAGTATGTCACGGGGCCGAACTCACTTGAGCATGGACGGCTAAAGCGGTATGACATCCGGGACGAGATTTGTCAGAGGGTTGGGGGCTTCAAGCATGGCCAGGTTGTGAAGGAAGGGAGCATCACATCCGTCGTCATCGGCGTGCGGCTCGTGAATGGTGTTCCGACTCTGTTCTTTCATGTGGATGGACAGCCTGGCGCAGGGAAATACGATGATATCCAGAAGAAGAACTTCGTCGTAGTTGGACCCTCAGTTGCTGCATGCAGGTCGTGAAAAATTTGGTTGAGGCATGTTGAGGCATATTGCGGTTGACATAGTTGTTTAAGCGCAGCGGATTTTGCATAGATTGAGTCACTTGCACTATAGTGTCGGTTTGCCCCTTGCTACCAAGGTTGGGTCCCGCACTGTAGAGGAGGCACCCGACGACTTCTGTCAAACTCCGGCTCAGTCTGCAGAGATTCGGGAGCTGGCCAACTCATTGCAGTGTACCTTCGGCTATCCGTGCGGGCCGAGGTTCCCGCATTTTGCAAAATTTGACATCCGGGATCACGTCTGCGAAGCTGTCGGCGGGTTCAGGCATGGTCAAAAGGTGCTTGACCATGACGGCGACAGCGCTGTGGTAGTAGGGGTCCGGCTGGTTGCTGAACCCACCCTGTTCTTCCACTTGGATGGGTCGCCGGGAGCTGGCCAATACAAGAGGTATCACCTGGTTCGGCAAAGGTTCAAAGTGATCGGTTCAGTAATGTTGCAGCAGGTACCCCCTTCCGATCCCGTGTTCCAGCTTGCCGGTAAATCCACACTCAGTGCCATGAAAAAGATGGTGCACGAGGTCCTCTCGGCCCTTACAAGTCGCTCTCGTGAGCTCCACCCTGAATTCGAGTATGACTACACCTTCCGCTACCTGCAGGAATGCTTGGAGCCGGCGTATTTCGACATCAGGGACGAGGTGTGTGAGGGGGTGGGTGGCTTCAAGCACGGTGACATCGTCAACCTCCTTGGTACGGACCGGCAAGCCGTGGTCATCGGAGTACGCCAGGACCACCGTGGTACGCCTCATCTCTGGATGCACGTGGAGGGAGCGCCGGGCGCCAGCATGTTCAAGGAACAGCATTTCATTCGCATGGCTTTTTCCGTCGTAGGCAGGCAAGAGGTCAAAGAGTTCGAGGATCCCGAACCGCGAGCCTTCAGTTCCGAGTTCGTGCAGGGCATCCAGCCGACGTTTCGCTACCCGCAAGGTACCAAAGGGCGTGCAAAGCTTGCTCTCTTCGACGTGCGCGACGAGGTTTGTTTGCATGTGAGTGGTTGTCGGCACGGAGAGAGGGTGAAACTCGGAAGAGTGGAGGCCATTGCGATTGGAGTCAACATGGAGGGCATGGTTCCGACGATGTTCTTCCATGTGCTGAAGCCCGTCACTGCGCGTGGTGCAGGGCTCTTTAAAAACTTCGATCTCAAGAGGCCACACATGAAGAGCCTTGGGATCGATTTTGTGGAGGAGGTGACAGAGGAGAGGTTCCGGCGCGAGGCATCCTCTTCAACCTCTTCAAGCGGCTCAGATTCTGAGTCCGACGCCGCCTTGGATGTGTTTGGGCGACCGGACTCACCAGGCTTTACAACATTCGCATCCAACCTCCGATTCCAAGCCCCGGCATATCTTACGGAGCGACTTCTGGACTCGAGGCGCGAGGTGGCCAAAAGTTGCGACGAAGGCAACGGCCCAGGAAGTTCATCAACTGCTCCTGCCCCAGAAACACCGCCCTACGAGAGCGACATGCCCGAGCATGTAGTTCTGCTACAGCTGTCACGATGCGGCACCAAAGTCAAGGAGGCCCTCCTGAGTTCCCCGGGATTGGCCGAGCGTCTCCAGTATGTCGTGGATGCCGGCTGTGAGGTCACTCCCGCGTGGGCGAGCGGCGCCGTGCTCCTTGCTCCCTTAACCGAGGAAAAAGTCATCGAAGCCGATCTCAAACTCCGTGCACACCATGTCGTGGCCTTCGAGAGCGACACAGACCGTGTGCGAGCAGCTCTGCGAGGCATGCCATGCAAGTCGCGCCATAAAATTACTGGATGCAGCAAGCTGGAGTTGCTCGTCTTCTCATGGCCTCCGGACTGTTTGTTCTTCAGTGACACCTCACATCTCCCAAGCCTTGGCCCTTAAGCTAGCCAGGCAAGTCGCAGAAGATGAGCCGACATACGCAGAAGGTCACGCCGGTCCCCGTCAGAGCAGCCAGGACTGTGCGAGGCGTTTGCTTGTTGAGGCTAACCTGTGGGACGTCTTGCATAAATGGAAATTAACTTCAGGCCTGATGGGGAGCTTGTGCCTGCGTTGAAATTGGTTCGGGAAGGGCCTGGCAGTATCTCGCAGTGTGGGCTTGGTCAAGACGTTCGGGCTCTCCGGTTTGGTTTTTTTTGCAGGATGTCCTTGCAGAATGAGCGCAGGCTTGCGAGTGGTGCTTGGGGCGTAGGCCGTCAATACCTCACCCTGAAATCCGTTCGAACATCCTACATCCGAAGCTCTGCACTCTTAAGCCGTAAGCCCTTAATTCGGTTAGTTCTCTCGATTTGCTCGAAGGACCTGCCCGAAGAAGTCAGGCGCAACTTCGAGCAGGAGGAGGAGGGGGTGGTGGCAGTGCAGCTGAAGATCCATCTTTACCGTTAGGATGTACGGCCAGTTGTCGGCGGTGAAGTTTGGGTTGTTGTAAGAGGGGATCTGCCGCTGTCACATGACAGGATGTTGGGGTGCATGTCGGTTCCTGCCAAGGTTTCGTCAGTTGGTGACATTAAGACACAGCTTCTCCAGCATCTGAAACCCCAGGGCCCAGGCAGGAAGGGCACCAAGACCAAGCCTTACAGATGAGACCAGTTTAACTCAGGATGCAGAAACTGCAGGCTTTGCTTAAGCTTACACTTTTGACATTGGGGCTCACAGTCCTTCAGAGGATTCGCTGAAGCAGAGTTGCTCAGCCTCACTGAACTGCACCAGGCTAAACCTGAATCCTTGAAATTTCCAGCCTCCTGCCACAGTATTCGGCCGTTCCACCTCATTGCCTGGACCCCGACCAACACACTTGCAGCTCTAGACTCCAACCTTTTGTCCCCAGCCCCAAGCTCAGGAGTTTCAGTACAAGGTGAAGAACACCTTCGTGGACATCCACATCCCTTTCGATGGCAGAAGCTGCGCACCCTCCGAAGCCTCAGCTGCTGCGGCCTCTGCGCCCGGGGTAGTGCAGCGATGCTGTGAAGATTCTTCGTCATCTGCCACGGGAAACATGTGGAAGTGCAGATGTGGACACTGTGAGCCTGTCCGGATCTACTGAAGATTCATTAGGACAGCCTGATTCTGCTTGGGCACATCTGAATCAACACAGCAGCTGCTGGAATTCCTGCTGCTGCATCTATTGCGGCGAGGGCAGAACAAGGGTGGGGTCGCAAGCTGCAGGCTCCGCATGTAGTCTAAAGTGTTTCCTGTCATGGAATGAGGCAGAAGCGGTGACCTTGTGAAGACTAAACATTTCCGGATAGTTTTGCCTAACCTACTCACCTCAATGTGCCGTCCGTCGGCTGACCTTCGGAAGGTTTGTTGCATCGGCTGTTATCATGTGGCAGACGGAGTTCCGGCTATAATGTTGAGTGAGGGCAGCTGTGATGGGTTGGAATCCCAATGCTTTTCAGTGCACGCTCGGGGAATTCGTGCTGCGGCCAGCGCTGTAGGACTTCATCCAACAGCGAAGCCCAGCAACGACGACTCTGAGCGGGGGACTCTTGCAGCTTCTTGGTCATGTACTTTGTAAGCAAAATCCTCAGCAGTGGTGCCTTTTGTCATGTGGAGCTGAAGGTTTCAACCGTTCATGTCCCGAGTTTTGAAATTGGGTGTAGATGTCTGCACCTCTGGAATCCGGCCGGGATGGGTTCTGGTTTCCCAGTGAACGCATCGTGGCGAGCCTTCAGCTTGCCATTCGGTGCTTCGCTGCTCAGAGCTCCTTTCTCCCTGGCGAGAAGATGCCAATGGAGGGAACGAGTGTCGCTCCCGCCACGGACACAGCGGCTGCAAGCCTTCAGTTTGCAGCTGTGTGGTGCATAGCCTCTAGTTGCTCTTATTTCATGCAGCCGAGCTTGGTCTCGTCTATGCTTGTGAAGAAAGGCGCTTGCATGGTGGCAGACAGGCCCGAGTCCTTTCATGAATGTTCGTGTTTCCCATAGCAGGGCTGGAGTGGATGGGTGATTTGCATCCATTCGAAATCACATTATGTGCCAGCTGTCAGCAATGCGTCGTGGCTGCTGCTGTCGAGGCTCCGTTTCGAGCCAGCGAACCTCCCGTAGAAGCCTTTGTGCAGGGTGTATCGGCATCCACCTGCGCTCTGATTGCGACATGCCGATTTCCTACCGCATCCGGCCACGGCTACCAAACGATGACAGGGCGGCTAGGTGCAAACTTTGAGTGCTGCGAAGTCGGAAAAGCTTGCTCTCGTTTCGTTTGAGTGTTGTAGTGTCGGAGCTGTTCCGCGCGGAGCTGGGCAAGCCTGTTTAGAAATCCTATGAGAGAACGATTGGAAGTTGAGCCCCATGCGACGTCAATTAAGCTCAGGTCGACAGATGCATCACTATCCAGACTGGAGGGCGCACACCAGCGCATGCCTATCTCTTCGAGGATGGCTCCGTGACGACTGACGGAGGCCAGCACCAGCTGCGGAATGTGCGGTCGATTGTTGCGACCTCCTCGGCATTCGCCGCATTGCGAAGGGATGGGACGGTGGTCGCCTGGGGAAATCCCAACCAGGGCGGTGACTGCAGTGCCGTGCAGGAGCAGCTTCGAGAAGTGGAAAGTCTGGCTGCAACCGACGTAGCATTTGCTGCTCTTCTCCGCGACAAGAGTGTGGTGACCTGGGGCGATGCCTGTGACGGAGGCGACTGTGAGTTGGTTCGTGACGAGCTGCAGGAGGTCAAAAAGATCGTAGGCTGCTCCTGCGCTTTTGCAGCTCTGCTGAGCAACGGAGGAGTCGTGACCTGGGGCGATCAGTTTGCCGACACTGGCTCCATCAGAGACGAGCTGAAGTGTGTCGAAGACATCAAGGGTCTTCGGACTCGCGCAGCTTTCGCAGCACTGCTGCGAAATGGTAAGGTCGGGGCCTGAAAGGGCACATGAAGGTATGAGGATCCTATCTTTGCTATGACAGGGTGGCAATACAGCCATGTTTAGTGATTCTGTTTGGGGTTTCTCACCAGGTGGTGACCTGGCAAGAACCAGAGCTGACACCGTCACCTGCCATACAGCAGATGTTGCAGAGCGGCGTGGTCCAGCTGGAGGCGTACGGGGATGTTTTTGAGGCCTTGAAGACTGATGGCACAACGATCTCCTGGGGCGAGGCCGGGTATCCTGATGAGAGACCCAACCGAATCCAAACCAGAGGATCTGCTGTCTTTGAGCGCTCTCTTGGAGCCCGATGGGTCAATAACTTCTAGTCAGTCTAGGCCCGGCATCACAAGATCTTCGCTCTAGTACGCAACCTATTACGTATACTTGTGGTAAGTCCCGCTGCTCGTGAGGATGGCGGTGGTGGCTTCCTGAATCGAGATCACCCTTCTGTAGGGTCGAACTCGAGATTCCAAAGCAGCGTGTTTCATTCCGTCTGTTTCTGATTTGTTTGGAGTTTCCTGTCCGAGGGTCCCTAGGTAGATCCGCTGTGGAACCAGCAGGAAAGTCCTTCTCACAAGGTTTGCAGTTTTGGAGGCATCCCGGAACCTTGTCGGACCTTCGCTCATCGGTTCGAGAAGCTGCGTTGATGTCCCAGTCGAGGCTGCGGAAGGGCATGCCGTCAGCGTGCTCTTGGCGCTTCGACGTTTTCCAAAAGGGTCCCAGCTTCGATAGAATAGTCCCTGAGATTTTCCTCCAACCTCAACAATGTGATGCAGATGCTTGGACCCTTCGACTTTGGCTGTCTAGGGCACTGTGCCTCTGCGGCCACGGTACGTCAGCAATGTCGGACATGCAAGCTGCCAGCCATTAGCTTGCAGCCTGCCAACCTGGCAGCGGGCAACCATGTATAGAATTGACGTCTGCAGTTGTTGTTGCTTGAGCTCGATATCCTGCAGACCCCAACTCATGTTTTCAGGGTCACGCGCTGTGCAGACGGAAAAGGCCTGCGTGCAGAGTGTGTGTAGCCCGGGAAGGCAACAGCTTAAGAGTCGTGGCTTCGCCTGCAAGGACAGCCAAAGACATACTTAGCACTCCAGCAGCCAGCAGCATCGCCTTCAGCTCGAAGTCCATCTTCATCCTGAATGACATGGCCCTACCACCATCGAGACCTCATCTTCCCCAAAGCCACATACTGAGACCAAGCCCCCATGCCCACGCCCGAAATTTTAGTAAGAAGCTCGACAAAAAACTCCAAGCCCAAACATGTCCAACAAGCCCTGTTTCTCAAAGTCTCCCCCGAAGCGAACTACGTACCAACAACTCTGCTCTCAAAATGCATTCTTGTGCCCTCGGCGTCCAAAACTGCACCCCTGGAGGTTTGGAGAAGTGGATCAATTCCACCCACATGGATCACCACCACCATTGGCACTCCAAGTGGATGAGCGTGACCCTGAGTTCTGCGACGGGCCCCTCGTGTTGTGAGGATTGGAAGAGGTTCGCCCAAATCTTCCAAGTCGGAAGCCCTGAAACCCTAAAACCCTAAACCCCTAAAGCTATCCCGAAATGCCAGGGGAGCTGGGAGACCTCCTCAGTCCCACTCCCTCCCATTCTTGTCACTGCCCCTGTTGCCTAAACACTAAGCCTGAAAAGTTGAAAACTATGAGAAAAACTCCAAACTTGAATCTCAGACTCAGAATCAACCCTGTACAGTTTAGGGTTTAGGGTTTAGGGTGTAATCCCTAAGCCAAGAGATTTGGGACTTGAGATGAGGGCTTCCGGGCTCACGCTTCGGATGCGGGAGAGGATTCGCAATTCAGGATTCGGAGAGCTCATACAGTTGATGATATAAATCCTGCATTACCTTAAGGACCCTAGACTATGGGAATTATGGTATATTCCTTACTATGGGCAATGCAGGATTTATATCATCAGCCGCAATGGTTATTGGCGTTCTCCCTTATAAGAATTCGTAGCACTTTAGGGTGTTGGGGTGCAGGGCTTCAGGTTCAGGGGATTTTTGTGTT